GGACTAGAACTCCCAGTCTCCTGGTGATTGGCCCAAAGTCACCCAGCCAGCTTTCATGCCTAAGGCGGGACTAGAACTCACTGTCTCCTGGTGATTGGCCCAAAGTCACCCAGCTGGCTTTCATGCGTAAGGCAGGACTCGAACTCGCCTTCTTTCAGTTTCTAGGCCAGCACCTTAACCACTAGGCCAATTTGCCTGGCTGTCAGTTGGTAAAGGGCTCCCCCCCCCCATTTATTTCATTTCTTAATTTTCCCTTTTCAATCAATTTCTGGGATGTTTGTCAATTATTGCCATTCCTTAGTTTCTATACCATGAGAGGAAGGGCAAATTTTGGCCAGGCCTGCTGACACGGAACAGATGAGGAAGGGGCACAGGGGTCCTCAACTTACAACCGTTTTTTTAGTGGCCGAAGTTACAACAGCCCCGAAAAAAAAGTGACTTTTTTCCTCACTTAATGACCGTAGTCACAAGGCCAAAATTCAGATGCTTGGCAAACTGACTCATATTTATGATGGTTGGAGGGGTCACGCGATCCCCTTTTACGACCTTCTGACAAGGGGGAAAGGCAGATTCACTTAACAACTGTGATTCACTTAACAGCGGCAGCAAGAAAGATGGTAAAATGGGGCCAAACTCACTTAATTGCTGTTTTCCTTCGCAACAGTTACGGTCGTACGTCGAGGACTGCCAGTGTTGGTAAGGGCAGAATATTAGGATCAAACCCTCAGTTGTTTTCCCACTGAACGGCCTGCCACAAAGGGAGACCCATGGCGTCTGCGGAGGAAGTTCAAATGGTCTTCCTCGCCGCCAACTTCTGTCTCCTGAGAGTGTCACTTCCTCATGCCAACCGCAGGATTTCTTCATTGTCAAGAAATCACACAAGCAACCAGCATCGTTGGTCATGCAATTGGGACTCTCCGGGTATCACAGTGGCACTTCTGTCCAGTCTGAGCCGCTTTGGAAAAGTTTCTAATTCCAAGGTCCTCAAACCATTGGCTACTTGAAGAGGGGTGGTGTTCAACTCCCAGAATTCTGGGGATTCTGGGAGTTGAAGTCCACCTCTTTACAAGTGGCCTAGGTTGAGGTACCCTGGTCTAACTAATAGAGGTGTTGGAAGTCCGCGCATCTTGAAGCGTGCTGGCTGGGGGATTCTGGGAGTTGAAGTGCACCTCTCTACAAGTAGCCTAGGATGAGGTACATGAGTCTAATTCAAGCGTCTTCCAACTTGGCAAGTTTAAGACTTGTGGACTTCAACTCCCAGCATTCCTGAGGTAATATGACTGGAGGAGGAATTCTGGGAGTTGAAGTCCACAAGTCTTAAAGCTGTCAAGTTTGGGGACCCCGGTCTAATTAAT